TTTTTTTTCCTTTTTCTACCCCTCAGTCTGACATGCATGCGGTCTACCGCCTATGCAAGACCGACTGTTTCAACCCCAGGGCTTGTGTCATAGCATGTTGCCATTCACGACAGAACTGACGCTAAAGCATGTTTGTACATTGCTGGGCTAGACCGAGGCACACCGAACCTAATGCTGGATATATATATGCACTGGGTACACCGGGGTGGTGGTCTCCTCTCTTGCACTGCCACAGCGGGCGGTTCCCCCGTTGCTAGGCCCAAGCGCCCTAGTAGCAATTGGTGGCTCCTCTCTTGACAGGGTCCCACTATAAGACCGTGCACGAGGCTCCGTGGGATCACTGTGTCCTAGATAACGACGGGTTAGTTCTCCCTTATCACTCCTACGGCCTATACACAAGGAGGTGAGGAGCCTCTGGCTGTGGCTTGAAGACAAAATTTTTATTCTCCTTGGTCGTCCGGGTGGTGATGTACCGGCTGTATTCAGACGATAGATAGATAAGCATGTAACTAACCCGGCTAAAAAGATGGTTAGTTAGGCAGTATGCACTCTGGCATGGTCGACAACGATTGAGAAAAGATTAAATGGAATTCCACACTTGCCAACGGCGGGCAAATGCAATTCCGCCGTGTTTACTACTGCTATAGTTTATATGCCCACACCCCATCTGTCACTCTTCCCACAGTAGTATAACTACATAGTTATCTCCAAGGCGTTTTCTCCAGTCCCCAACTGGCTGCCCATGCTACAAGTTTTGAAGTGTAGAATTGTGACCACCTACTATACCAAAGCGCGATGGTCAACCAAACACTCCTCCCCTCCTGGGTCCGAATGTACGTAAAAACTTGAGCAATTTGCGATACCGCGTAGAACTCTTGATGTTGACCCTTTTTAACAGCCTCCTCCTGGGTCTGAGCATCATTTCATTCCTACCGCAGCTGCAACTCCTCTGGACAACCAAGAATAGCTCAGGTCTTTCACTGCGCTATCTACTTTTCAACCTCATCTGTGCGACAGAACAGTTCCTCCTTGCATTCTTATACAACAACACCCCAGATGCAGAACCGAATATGTTTGTGGAGAGTCCCGGATCCTTAGGAGACTGGTTGAACTTGATTCAAATCACGGTTATTTGGATACTTTCCAGTCTTACGTGAGTTTTACATATGCATCTATCCCTATAAGGGAAACATATACTAACACCAACACTCTAAAAAGATTTACGCTAAGCTTGCGATATCCCTCCGACTCATCCTTCCGAAACAAGCTCTCCGCGGCCTTGTCATATATCGTCTACCTTCTCATAGCCGTCATTCCGTCAGTATGCGTGGTCCTCACAACCGATAGAGGCGAGGATCCCCCGACCAGCGAGAATGAGTGGGTGTTCGCTCTCTGGAGTGGTGTCCATCTCATATTTGTCAACCCGGCCATGACACTTCTCGCATTCAGTGCTGTGTTCTGTCAGGCGCCGAAAATACGAAAAGGGGTGCCGCCGCCACCGGCTTTCAGTCTTCGAGGACTTGCGATCCAGGCAGGCGTGTTCTCGGTTCTTGCTTTGACTTGGCCGTTCCGGTTTGTCAATATCGATCCCGATTGGGATATTTTGCGTCGTGGTTTACGCTGTATAGCTGGTATATATCTGTTGGTTGGACGGCTGTGGATTGTGCGATCTTTGCGCTCGTTCAGGGGATTCTGCTGTGGATGGCTTGCAGAAATATGAAGTACTGGCGGTTAGCTGAGGAGGGCGAGACAGAGCCGTTACTGGCGAATAGGGGAGTGATTGAGTCGTTGCCAATATAACTTCTATGTTTCCCTCTCTTGTTCTATAACTGTAAACTCCACCATATTCGAAGCCGGTACCACCACCTCCGGCCGTCCGTCATTGTCAGCGGGCTTAGTGATCACCCCGAATCCGACTACCATTACAATGGTATCCAAATGATCCTCCTTCGTTCCCCAATCCCACCAAGTCCATTTGCATCCTTTGAATCGGTGTCGCATGACCTCCCCATCTCGAGCATCTTCTGGTAGATCGAGCATGATCTCAAGTTCCTCCTTTCAGACCAGGTCTCGTTGGGCTGTAGAGACATAAACCCTTCACTTGTTCCCACTGCGCGTGGGACGTCTTCATCCTCGAACAAGGCGTATCCACACACACCATCGCCGCGCCATGATTCCCACTCTCCAGTATCCTGGCTACGCCGATAAAAACAAGATACCTCCCAATCATACAAGTCACTCACTGAGAAAGTAATTGGTCGAGGGGTCTCGTCTCCTGATACCCCGTGGTAGGTAAGCTTCCAGGTCAACGGCCACCTTTCTTGGGTTCTCCATGTCGGCGGGCCTTCAATCTCGAGGCTGAAAATGGGCACGCCTGGGGTGCTTAGCTGTTGTTAGCGTCCTAATATCAGCAGATAAATGGGCGGAGAAGAGGTACTCACAGGGTACTGGGATCTAGTTCGAGGATTGGAGGAGTCAATGGCCTTGGTGGCGGCGGCGGCGCACTACCTTCGATCATACAGAATCTGCACCGTGCACCCCCAGGCAGTATTATTGGGGTTGATTTCGGCTTCAGCTCCGCGCTTTCCAACTTCTCCTTGTTGGTATCCTTCGATCCCCAATCCCAAAGATACACCTCGTCCCCGGGCCAGAAGAGATCGTATATAATCCATTCATCTTTCTCAGCTGCTGGGGATATACTCTCTCCGAGAGGGATATCCCACGACACGGCTTTACCTTCTGCACCCAGGTACCAAAGGTGGGGGGAGCCTGATTGCTGCGTTACTGGTAAGGAGAAATTGGACCGTAGTTCCACCTCCTCTACGCCCTCACCGGGCCTGTCACGGAAGACTCTAAATCCTTCATCGGTGTTGGGGGACCAGTAGAAATAGCATGGCTTGTGTTCCTGCTGCTCCTTGGATCGCGCAATAGTTACTTTTATGTAATTTCCATCCGGGTTCTCGGTATAGAAATTTCGATACTCAGTGAGGGTTACCTCCAACGCTGGAGTATGTGGGCTTTAGCTCCGTTGTGTTAGTGTCTATCTGAGGTTTGCAATGACAACAGGGGTCCATACTGTCGGTCTGCCTTGGAAAACTTTAGATATGGCTCTAAGGGATCGGTCATAGTTACTGATTTCTTGGTTGAAGGTTCCAGTAAAAGCAGGTTGCACTGGGATAACAGGTGGGGTGTACAGAAGGAGAAGATAAGCTATGATTTGGGCTTATCTAAAGGGAACATACGCCATTATATGCCAAGAGCGTGTGCAAGGTGTCTAGATATAGCAAGTAGGCCGAGCTAAATCAAAACTATCCTAGTATGGGCACCTGTAATGTTCCTATTGCAGTTAGCTTTTCTGCTTTAATTTGGTTGCCTGGTATACGGAGGTGTGTTCCAATACACAGTAGTTATTAGCGGCACTAGCATGCTCGCTAAAGTAGGAATAGATTAATTATGCCTAAGTTGACTGGTCTTCCTAAAGTAGGAGACTCTTCTGGCCTCTTACCATCTTATGGGTTACTAGCAAATCAAAACACCATATTTCTAAAGCGGTGATGCGGTTACGAACGACCAGGATAATGGTTGGCCTTTGCTGACGATTTGTCTTACTGACGTTCTAACTCGCCCGGACAATCGCATCTTGATTGGGATGACGTCTTACTCAGGTGATAAAGGCATTTGCCATCAGCTTGATGCCTTTTCCACTGTCCTGCAGATCTTACCAACACCGGCCACTTTACCTAGGCCAGATAACCGTCCTTGAGAGTGAACTTCATGGCGAGGAGCGCATCGGCCGGCGTTGGCTCGCAAAACATCCATTGTGTCAGGGTTTTATGGTCCGCCCATCCACAACAATCGGCGGGTGGCTGTACGTGGCCAGCTTCATCCTGTCCAATGCGCATCTGCCGTTCGTGCCTCGACTCTTGGCGGCGGAGGAGCAATTACTAGGAGAGCAGCAGAAGGCACAGGAGGAGAGTCTGGTTGCATTACAGGATTGGCTCAAGGTTAACAGTATTCGAGTGCTAGCGGTGGATTTGCCTCTGCTATTGGTCACAACGGCAGCTGCACTGGGGTCAGAGAACTGGCAGTAAAGGCATTGATTATATGTATGGCCAAACAGCTAATCTCCAATCTAGGAAGCAGCTTTATTTACTGAACACCGGGCATAATACACTACTTCAGTTACCCAGTAAATAATGCTATCTACCTCCTCACTGGGTAACAGTCTTCATACTGCCCAGGCGGCGCTCAGTGTTGTCACGACCGTTGACAAAGTCCGGGTAGGCCAAAGTAAGCTCGACTGCACCAGAAACAATGTGGTCAACTGCTTCAACACCCAGCATAAAACTTAAATTTCATTAGCACGCGTACATGGGCCCCAATATTCATAGGAAATTACCTGTGGTCCTGGTTACCGACTTCATACTTCCACGAACCGAAACGGCCACGGGATAGAATGTCCTTTTGCTGCAGGTAGGGGGGAATCTCGTTCAGAGCGCCGTTGCGCTCCAAGCTGGGGGTAGGGTATCCGTGGTCGAAACGCCGCACGTAGGTGCGGACAATCTCGTCCTCGGGCTGAAGCAACGTGGTGTTGATCAGACCCTGGATGCAGTCCCCCAATAGGATGTCGTGGTTGACCGGCTTATACTGAGACTCGGAAACTTCCAACATGATAGACCAGTATGGACCCTCCTGGGCGTCTGAAGAAGCAGGCTTCTGGCCGTTGGCAAGTTGCTTGGTAGGCAACTTGACCTTTTGCTGAGGTTGGTTATTGGGGGAATAGTTGGAGAAGATAGTAGCACGGTAGAAGGGGCAGTTGTCCTCGGGGAAGTAAAGCTACGGCTGTTAGATTGTATTTTTCCTTGATCTGAATCCAGAGAGAACATACCCAGCACTTATCTCCGATGCGCTCAGGGCGCGTCCCACGGATACCGACACCGATCACGTTGGTGGAGGAGTAGAAGAGGGGTTTGCAGAGCTGCTGCAGTGCGGTGTCCGCCATGGCCTCGGCGAGGTAGTCAACCGCAATGGTCGAGATAAGCGATCCGTAGTGAACAATGGTACCTGACAGTTTTGATCAGCTTAATCGCCAGTCAGCCCATCGGTAGAGCAACAGACCGTCCTTCAGGTAGACCTTCTTCGCCTCGGCGTCAACCTTGACCACGGTGCCGTGCTCACCGAAGCGGGTCTTCTCCTCGGCAATCGTGTTGGCCACAGCAATTCAGATGCCACCGGTACCGCCGTTGGCAGGGAACTTGAAAGTGGCATTGGGTCCCCAGTTGCCAGTCACCTTGTTAAGGATGACATTGCTGGTCAGCAGCTTGAGGTTGGGGGCAGCCACCCGCTCGCCAACCCAGGTGGCGTTCATCTTGCTCGGGGGCATCGCCCAGACTTTGAAGTTGTACGGGCGCATAAAAATCTGGTTCAGTCGCTGACCGACATTCCGGGTGTTCCAGATGTCGAAGTTCTGGGGCTTGTCCGACGCAGGGCGGGTTCGGGCCTCCAAGGCGGCATCAATTAGACTTTCGATGCATTGCACCTGCTCCTCCTTGGGCAAGACGGAGATATTGTTCTGGAAAGGGTAGGGGACCCAGCGGCCCTGGTAGCGGACATAGGAGACCTGTTGGTGCTCGTACCAGTCCTCTGTCTTGGGGAGGGCTTCGTGGAGGCAGTCGTCGAAATACTTGTAGTGGGAGAATATAACATGCCCACCGACATCAAACAGCTGCACGGAGATTAGTACCTAATCATCATGTTGGGCACGATCCCTCGCGGCAGAACGACATACAAAGCCTTCGGGGGTAATGTCTGTGGAGGCCAGTCCACCGGGGGTTTCGTTCGCGTCAATGATCATCCACGTGGCACTGTTCTAGACTCCCATGTTTTGTTAGCGTTACCAGAAGAATTCGTTCCATCGTGATCTAATTGCTCCGACTTACCAGCTGCTGGAGACGTTTGGTGGCGCCCAAACCGGTTGGTCCTGCACCGATGACCAACACATCGACATTGCTGGGAAGACGAGTCAGCACTCTATTTCCAAAAACACGGCTGAGATAAGGACAAGTACATTTGCTTAGCAGCCATGATAGGGGAGGGCGAAGGGGAGGCGAGTGGGAAAGAAAGAGACAGGAAGAGGCGGGAGGAATCCAAAACAGACAAGCAGCATAGCCTACAAGAGAACAGCAAGAAGATCGGGAGGCATTTTAAGACTGACAGCAAGACCCTGGACAGGATCCAGCGAGGATGCGACGCGCGTCAGTTGGGGCAGATCACGGACGGATGAACCGGGGTTTGCCCCATGGTGATCTAAATTGTAATTCCACTACTAAGTACATAATTGCAGCGGCGGTGTCATGGGGCAGACTACTACTTTTAAAATCTACTATTGATGCTGTACAGTGTAGTCTGTACTACTCTATACAGGGTAGATGCTCCGTACTACTCCGTGACGCGGACGTCTCTATTTTAGGGCTATACTCCCTACGAGTGGGGACTTCGAAGCTTGTTTGCATGGAATCCCACTGGCCGAGTACGGCGGGCCGGGCAATAGCGGCCATCGGGCAATAACAATTTCTTAGTATTAATTGCCAGCAGAATAACAACAACATCTGATTATCTTATATAACTTATCTAATATACCTATCTATATAAAGCTGTATGAACATTACTAAATAACGTACTTGACTCTGTTATACAGATAGCCACTAATCCTAAGTACCATAATTAATTACATTTTGTGATAGGATCTACTTGTCAGGGTAGAATACCCTCTTCCGTGGCTGATATATTGATGCGCACTGATCTGTTTTAATATTTATTTGGACGATTAAAGGTGTCGTTTGGGGTGATCGTCGCATCAATCGGGCAGTCGGTTCATTGGAGCCTGGGGGCTTTGATTGCATCAAGGAGTGGCTGATGGCAGAAGTACCAGGCTCTAGGTATAGGCTTGTATCTATCACCGATAGCTCCGTTCTCGCTGATGCCCTTATCCCCTTCACCGAGTGGGTGGAATCTGCCTACCCTATCTATTAGGGCTTTATCAAAAGTGCCCCTCGCTCTTTCCTTTCATCTTTCCTTTTCTGGCTTCAATAAACCGCTTTCTCTCCTTTCTTGCTCTCAGAAGACTGTCCCACATAATTTCAATACTCTCTTCGTACAGACCACACCAAATGGCTTCGCCCAACAGCACAATCGTCCTTATTACCGGCGCCAACCAGGGTCTCGGCTTTGATGTCGCCAAAATGCTGGCCACCGACCACCCGGGATACAATGTGCTCATGGGCTACCGCGATGCAACTAAGGGCGAAGAGGTCGTTGGCAAGCTCAAAAGCCGAGGACTGACCGTCGACGGAGTGATGATCGACGTGACCGACGACACCTCCATGTAGAGGGCCTGTCGGCTAGACGTCCTCATCAACAACGCCGGAGTAATCTCCGAGGGACGCTTACCCGAAGGCACCTCCCTCCGCCAAACCTGGCAGACTGGCTTCGACATCAACACCACGGTCCACGTCGTCACTACGCAAGCCTTTGTGCCTCTGCTGGAGATGGCCGCTCTGCCACGAGTGGGTCTTATGTCCTCAGCTCTAGGATCATGTACTGGCCGGTTGGACCCCAACGACCAATTTGCTGCCTTCCGGTTCCCCGCCTACCGCAGCACCAAGGTGGCGCTCAGCATGGTTGCCTGCCACTATGCCGATCTATAGGGGTCTAAGGGGTGGAAAGTCAATGCTAGCGACCCGCGACATTATGCGACCAATTCCAACGGCTTCCGTGGCTCGGGGTCCCCGGAGAGTGGTGCGCTGCAAACGGTTCGTCTCGCAAGCTTGGATAAGGATGGACCAACTGGTATATTTAGCAACACCGATGGGCCGCTGGGGTGGTAGAATCGCTGTGTATCAATCTAGTCGGTCAATCGGCCGAAGGAGATGACTTTGAAGTCTGCCAGGACCAGATCCTTGGGGAACGAGAGTTCGAGGTCAAGGCTAGATTGATCTATTAGCCAGTATACTAGTATTTGTATCCTTGGAGAGTGTGCTGGGTACCAGTAAGCACTAGTATGGAGTAATAGTGTCAGTGCGTATAGGCCGGGGAAGGGGCTTGGGTGTTTCAGCTGTAGATGATTGGAGTTTTTTCAAGTGACTAAAACTTTCAAAGAACATTCCAATCGGGGACTCCCAGACGGACAAGTCCGTGGCAGGGATTATCACGGAGTTTGGCGGACATTAATTCGTACCTCCGATGCCATTGAGCCACTTCGCTGATGCTAATAGAATTATGGATTTACCCCTCCCCCCAAAGAGTGGTGGCGGATTGATTATCACTAGGTACAACCGTCTGAATTTCTCTCGTCCTTCTCACCACTTTATATTCCTCTTCCTTGGCTTCATTTGTGTACAGACAAGTTTCCAGGAATAATAATCCATCACCTTCGATACCCGCTTTCCTCACCTCTTTTTTCATTCCCCCTCTTTCCACCATGACTGTCACTCTTGTCAATAAAGCCATCGGCCCGATCGGGTTTGGTCTTATGGGTATGCTCATGCTTCCTCTCACCCCATATCTTACAGCAGCCCTTCTAAGCTAACCGACAGGCCTTACCTGGCGTGCCAACCCCACCCCATACGACGAGGCCGTCAAAGTCATGAAGCGCGCTCTCGACCTCGGGGCTAATTTCTGGAATGCCGGAGAATTCTACGGCCCTCCCCATGCCAACTCCCTGCAGCTATTGGACTACTACTTCACCAAATATCCCGAGGATAGCAGCAAAGTAGTCCTAAGTGTCAAGGGCGGTCTGGGCCCCAAAGGTCCCGACGGTACTATCGAAGGCATCCGCGCCAGTATTGATAACTGCCTGAAGCTCCTCAACGGCAAAGTGTTTATCAGTATCTTTGAGCCAGCGCGGGTCGATCCCAACACTCCTATTGAAACCACCATCAGCGCAATAGCCGACTACGTTAAGGCCGGGAAGATCGGCGGCATCGGCATCAGTGAATGTAGTGAGCAGACAGTGCGTCGGGCTCATGCCATACATCCTTTGGCTGCTGTGGAGGTTGAGTTGTCCTTATTTTCCACAGATCCTTTGGAGAATGGAGTTGCTGCTGCCTGTAAGGAGCTCGATATTCCTCTGGTAGCATACTCCCCTTTGTCCAGAGGATGGTTGACAGGACAACTACGCTCGTTGGATGATCTGCCTGCCGATGACTCTCGGCGCAACTATCCTCGATTCCAGCCAGATGTGTTCCACTTGAATTTAAAGTTGGTGGAGCAGTTGGAGCAGATTGCTAGGAAGAAGAAGGCTACTTTAGCGCAGACGGCTATTTCCTGGGTAAGGGCTCAGAATAAGCTACCCGGCAATCCCGTGATTATTCCCATCCCCGGATGCACTACAGTCGAGAGGGTGGAGGAGAATATGGCCGATGTAGAGTTGTCGGAGTCCGAGCTGAAGGAGATTGCTGCTATCCTGAAGGAAATCCCGGTCCACGGTGATCGGTATGGGGGAGTGCTCGCGCGGCTCATGAATCTGTAGAATGCTGAGCCACTTGCCTTGGTTGGCAACATATCGCTATAATGATTATATTACTGCGAGGATACGAGGAGCAAACTCCCTGAGGCTATCATGCAGACAAATTCAATAATGTTGAGGACCCATCCCAGGCGATCATTGTATGTAACACTCGCCATCGCATAACAATATCAGATACGAGGTGGAGGAAGTAAATGCCAGATTTTCACCAAGTAGCTCTCGACGGGCGTCGACGTACTCGACTGAGACGCCGTAGCTATACTTTCCAATCGCAAGCTCCTGTGGTGCAACTCCAGCCAACAAGCAACTTAGGAGGCGCGATATTCTTCATGTAGAGGGCCATTTGTAGCGTGACAATTATTAGCGGAGGGTTTGTTAGATGGTTGTATTGTTACAGCGCGAGGGAGGTGAAAAAAAAAAAAAAAAAAAAAAAAAAAAAAAAAAAAAAAAAAAAAAAAAAAAAAAAAAAAAAAAAAAAAAAAAAAAAAAAAAAAAAAAAAAAGAAAAAAAAAAAAAAAAAAAAAAAAAAAAAAAAAAAAAAGTTTCAGTCGGCGACCCAATTCGGAATAGTCTGGTGTCAACTCATTATGAATCATGATCTATACATATAATCCGCGAAATAATGGCATCATGGGTGCTATCTATAAATTGAACAATTACGCGTCGAGTTCGCCCTCACCGAGTCCGCTTTCAATTGTATATTCTGAACCATCATTATGGATGATTATCTTGATGTCTTCGGTCAACAGACCTTCACTATCAATATTCAGTCATGTTTTTGCTTTCCCCTCCCTGACAACTCCGCATGCCCAGATATTGTCGACACTCTCACCAAAGGTCTTGAGCGACTCCGCACAAGCTTTCCCTGGCTAGCAGGTCAAGTTGTCAATGAGGGTTCGGGCGAGGGCGATACGGGTTACTTCATGATCAGGCCGCTGGAAAATGAAGCTCAGCTGGTTGTGCGAGACCTGCAGAATGACCTCTCAGTCGCGACAATGAAAGATTTACAGCGTGCTAATTACCCCATAAGCATGCTGGATCAAAACATTCTGGCGCCCCGCAAGATTTTCCCGGAGAACCAGGATGACTCGAAGCCTGTTTTCCTTATTCAAGCGACTTTTATCACGGGAGGCCTCCTTCTCACCTTCGTCGCTCAACACAATGCTATGGATGCCACCGGCCTCGTCAATATTATTCATCTGTTTGCTAAGGCTTGTCGAAACGAAAAATTCACAGACGAGGAGCTCCGGGGCGGTAATCTTCCACGCCGAGATATTGTTCTATTGCTCGATGACAGCTCTGCGACAGATGCCGAGCTCGATCGTTACATTGTCAAAACCGCTCCATATAAGCATTCAACTGACTTGCCAGGGACTCGTATGCCGAAATTGTCATGGACGTCTTTCAAAATCTCACCTCGCTCGCTAGAGGAACTGAAATCTGTTGCTATGGCTTCCCTCCCACCGCCATCCTTCGTCTCTACTGATGATGCTCTCACGGCCTTCATCTGGCAATCTGTTACTCGGGCCCGTCTGCGCCGACTGGGTCCCTCGACTCACTCAACCATCATGCGCGCCGTGGATGTACGAGGACTTCTCGATATTTCTCCGCTCTACCCGGGACCTATACAGAGCAATGTCTATACCGACTCTTCGATCATGACACTCATTGAGGAGCCGTTGGGTAACATTGCTTTGCAACTTCGGCTAGCTCTAAGCGACGAATCGCGCTTAGAACACCACACGCGTGCTATTGCAACCTTCCTGAGTCGTACGCCGGACAAGAATATTTTTTCCTTTGGCGCATCAATCGATACAACAACGGATCTCATTCTTAGTTCGTGGGCAAAACTGGAGAGCTATTGCTTTGACTTTAACCTTGGTTTAGGATTGCCTGAGGCTGTACGAAAGCCAAGATGCAATGAGGTCGAGGGGTTGACTTTTCTATTGCCCAAGACACGTGAAGGCGAGGTCATAGTTGCAATATGCCTACGGGATGAAGATATAGAAGAGCTCCGGTCTGATGTCGTCTTCATCAAACATGCGGAGTATATTGGTTAGAGGCTGGTGCCAGAGTAGGATAATTTTACATTAAGTGTTGAAGATGATAATAATTTTCCAGGCCAAAATTAGTTAGACATGAAGAGACATACGTACTTGATGTTCTAGCCAGGTTGACTGCTTTCCCTTTCCGTTTTAGTGCTCACCCCTCGCCGCTTTTTGCTCACTTAGTAGACCTGAGCACGCCCTGAGCAGCGTGGGGCGATCACTGACCACGGGGTGAGCGGAAGACTGAGTGCCCTGAGTTTCGGTCAGTCCCTCTCAAATGGAAAGTCCCCAGTTACTTTCAGATTCTTTATCATGGCCTGTCGAAAGAGAGACTTTTTGGAGTACGTTGGAAGATGATTTGCGGTTCGATGTATTTTACTTGGTCGTCGCTCCTGGTACCAGTTCCGGGCCTTTGTTTTGGACAAGCCTTTGATGTTTGTCGCGCAAGGTAAGTATAATCAGAGTAAACGCGCTGAATCTTCATTTCGTTAATCTCGTTCGTTCTCGCATAATTTATAGACGGTGCGGGAGAATGCCCGGTGTATCCGTGGCTCCAAGTTGGGAGCTGTGTTCTGGTTCAAAGAGGTGACTTTAACAGAAACCTGTGGCCTTGTGTCGTCATAAGCCCAATCAGTTGGTTGTTTGCCTGAATTAATGCGCTGACATGTGGTGTCCAACGGCAATATTCGGGTATGTACTATCGCTATATCGGTTTTCTAGACATTACATGTACCTCTTCACCAGGGCCAACTTTGAGCATCGGCGAGGCTAATGGAGGCATTTATGCCGGGATTCGCTTCCTAACCACTACCTTATCCAGCGGCTGCAAATTTAGCTGTTTCCTCTTCCCTGATTGGTACTTGCCACCTAGCTGTGTTCGTGGTGCAACTGTGGTGAGCTTGTAAATGAGACGGGCAACACATATGGTCTCATTTCCGCTGGAAATCTCGCAAAGGCTGGCAATGCTGAATCTAAAGTTAGATCGCATGTAGGCACCTGTCGTTCCACACCTACCTTCTCCTTTCATCTCTTCTCTTTGGCTTTCATTCCTGTTCTTCTTTAGTCCATGTCTCCTTAAAAACGCGGCTGAACAAAATATAAAACACAGGAACTAGTCCTGAATTAGATATTACGGCTCACTCCTGCCCTTAAGACCAGAACGGGCCGCACGAAGTGTGGGGCCCGCAGATCATTCCCTGAAAGGTCCACTACCTATATAGGTTAGATAATGGGTCTAACAGTTGGACCCATCGATGGGTTTTGCCAAAGTCTAGCGTCAACAGTCTGACACGACCCGCTTCGAGACAAGATGCACCTGAGATACTTGAACACAGTGCAGAGGACACTCCTAATCCGCATTTTGTCGGCACTCAGGATAGTAGCAACAGCAACACTGGAAATAGAAGCCCTATCCATCTTTATCTCTGCCATCGAGCACAACGCACCATCACCAGACTTCACACACTACCTTGAGACCATCCAATCTGGACAACATAAGACTTGTACATAGATCGAAGTATGATATATGGATATGGAGACTTTAGGTTTACAAGCAATCTACATGTGATTCTATGAGTTCTAACGAGAGGCTGGTGGCCAAGTTGCTGATCCTATACAGCCCGACTTCCTAGTTGGGCCTCCTACCTAATTAAGATAATTACCTTGTTAGTACTAGTGGAATTTCCTAAACTGCACAACTAACTACCTACCGACATACCTACATATATGTAGGTATGTAATCGATTAATCTTAGTTAATCTAAACTAATCATACAATGAGAAAATGGAATACCCCAAGACACGCTCTCATATTTCTGAACTATTCATCCCTCAGATTACTACTTCCAAGACCGTTGAGCATGCTACCCACCTTGCCCTGATTAATACCACAACGACCAAATATATCACTGCTATACGGAGCTGGACATCCATAGGGGACCTCCTTCTCGCGCCAGGAGAGCTTGACGCGCGCCACCATCTCTGCCGTAATGCCACCCCCGGATTGTTCGCGGCGACAGATTGCAGCGAAAGCAGATGGCTGTAGAGCCGATCTTGGAAACGTACCGATCACACTAGACGAGCTCGAAATCGATTCCTATTTCGCATCGCGCCCTCGTACCGAAGGTTGATATGCATATGTCCTTGAACCTATTAACTGAGACCAATCCACTCACTCATCATGACACACAGGCCCAAGCTCTACTCAAGAGAGCGTGATTGTCACGTGGAACGGAGAGGATGACCCCAAAGATCCATACAACTGGCCCCTTTCGAAGAAATGGCGCGCCACAGGCATTGGCTTGCTTGCGAGCTTTGTCTGCTCGATGAATGGGACCATCCTAACTGTGGCTCATACGGCCATCGGGAACGAGTTTCACATTTCCGATGCGACGTTCCCCAATACCTACTGGCTAACAACATCTTGGGGTATCGGGGCCGCGCTGTGCCCGCTTCTTCTGTTTCCTGTGATGGAGGACTTTGGCGTTCGACCTGTCCTTCTGACCACCTATTTTTGCTTTATTTCTTTTTTGATTCCTGTAGGGCTGGCACCGAACTTTGCTACCCTGATTGTGGTTCGATTCTTCAGCGGAGGATGTGTTCCGCTGATAAGCGACGCCGTTGCCGGTATTACATCGAATGTCTTTCACGGCGATCGAGCCCGGAGTGTCCCAATTTGTCTGTACGTGACCATCTATCTGGCGGCGACAAGTCTGGGCCCGGTGGTTGGCTCTGCCATCCTGCAATTCCTGTCATGGCGTTGGATTGGGTACATCGAACTGATCTGGACCGCTGCCCTATATCCGATTCTGATCTTCGGTCTGCCAGAAAGCCGCGGGCCGGCGATCTTGCGCGCTAAGGCCAAACGACTGCGCCGCAAGGGGACGAACGCGTACACGACCGAGAAGATTGATCGGGTAGCATTTCCTCAGCTTATCCTGCAGAGCGTTCAACGGCCTCTGTACATGCTATGTACTGAAGGGGTCGTGTTCGTTGCGACGGTGTGGGCTGCCTTCAGCTTGGGAACAATCTATCTTTTTACGCAATCGGTCGAGCAGGTATACAAAAAGCTATATAGGTGGGATCCCATCCAGTGTGGATATGTCCAAGTTGCGATTGTGATCGGGGAACTCCTGGGCGGTGGATTTTGCATCTTAACCGATCCCTGGTACTATGCATCTGCGACCCGCAATACCGAGGCACCGGGCACGCCGATCCCGGAGGCTCGGCTTCACGCATCGATTATTGGTGGACTCTTTGGTGTCACGGGCGGCATGTTCGTGTATGGGTGGACATCGTACACTTCCATACACTGGATGGCACCCACCGTCGGCCTGGCGATGGTGGGGTTTGGGACGACGGCCGTCATCGTTGGCAATGCTAACTATCTCATCGACGCGTACAGCAAGTATGCTGCGAGCGCTCTCGGGGCGGTGGGTTTCGTCGAGAACATCTCTATCGCCTTTCTCCCTCTGGCCGCAGCAGCCATGTACACGAATATTGGATTTCAGTGGGCCAGCTCGCTGCTTGCATTTGTGTCCTTGGCCCTGGTGGCGACTCCTTTTGTGGTCCTCCAATGGGGCAAAGAGATCAGATCTTACAGCCCATTCATGCAGGAGGCCACTGTAGAGCGGACGAGAGACAGTGCCGCGGCCGCAGGTGTATAGACAACAAGGGCCTACAGGTGCTGTGCTCTGCGCAGCGCCCCCTCTTAGATTTATAAACATTTCATTACGTGAATTCTCTTAAAAATTCCTATGATAGGAATAATTGTCGCACTAAACTGGCTAGTTAGTGGGAATTGGCCAGTTAACCGATAGATATGAATTAATTGATTAGGTCTAGCTAGCCCGTCAGCTACTAGTATATTTATATAGCCAATTAAATTAGAGTAGCTATACCTGACCATTATACCTTAACTTGTAATCTAACTGTATAATTAAGATCAGGTTAAGATTAAACAAATATTTTAGTAACTATTAACCATTCTTAACTTCAGGTTAGAAAGATCAGGTATAGTAGTAGATAAATCAATAGTTATAGATTAAGTAGTGATTTTTACAGACTCTTTATAATAGTGTTATACTAATAGTAATATATTCTTAAATACAGTATTACAAGTAATCCATATCATCTATTTTTAATTAGTTGGTATTGTGAACAATTTCTCCAATTCAACAGGGTGGTTATCATTGTTTACCACCGCCACATATCGCGGTTATGGTATCGGTCGCGAGATACTCAGTGCAGGCAAGGATTTCTTCCGCAAATACGGCACGGAATACATTGGCCTTGACAGTGTGGCTGAGCAACGTGTGACTTACGAGCGGCGTGGCTTTTATAGAGACTAATCTAATCGCGGTTTGTGAGCGGCCCAGTGTGAAAGCTATCCCTGTTGCCAATGGGTCCTTGATGGAGGGAGAAAGGATCGAGTATTTGCAAAAGCTGAGCCTGGATAAACTCGCGGAAAGTGATTTCGCGCATTGTGGACTCGAAAGTCCTCGCTTATGGACCACTGAGGCTTTGTTTCACCGTCAAGATGCAAACGGCCTTGCAGTCGTGGATCAACACGAACCCTTACGGGCTGGGTTCTTATTCGAAAGTGCGAACTTGGATATCGATTCGGTCCTCTTTATGCGGAGCAACAAGATGTTGCGAGCCTGCTTGTGCATGCTGCTATGGAGAGCCTGGAAGACAAGGGTGCAAGCTTGGTTGCGGAGACATGGCAGTAAGCCAGCAGCCCGATCCACCTTTATAAAGGCTGACCGCGAATATATCTTGACTTTTAGTTTAGATCATCCAAAGCAAAGCCGCATTTGCAACGGATAACAAGACACAGTGTGTTTTCGATCCACGACGTGACCCCACCACACGTTCTCAAATCCCTTCGCCTCCTGCTCCGCCCATACTTCTTCAAGCAACGGAATGGTACTCCCAAACATTTGATACCGCGTCCGGTCATTCCACACCGAGCAGAACTGCACGATCTTCTGCCGTATCGATCGATCGCGTTGTTCGCAGCCCGCGAAGAAGAGCGGCAGCAACGCCTGCCGGGCGACCATGCTCTCGTCGCGACACGCTACCACATGGTCCACAACAACCCGGGCCCAACGGACAACATGCGTTGGAATAGGACTTCCCGGCTTCCATCGGAATACGCGGTAAATGTAGAGAAGCAGGCCGTGTCTCCATGCCTCCGAGCAGTGCATACAATCTTGGTCTTTTTGGATGTCCTCTTCGCTACCGAAGGCAAGTGCGGCAGGGGAGATGTGATGCCAGGACTCGAGCGCTTGCTCGATTTGGGCAACCGTCGTGGTGTCGAAGGTCACGTACCGCATGGACGACGATTGGCGTTTTTCGGCACTCAGACGCACAACTTGCATGAGGAGCGTGACCACGCTGTGTGGGCACCCGCAGAGGTCAAAGAAATTCCACTTCCGATCATCGGGGTTCGATAGGATGGCTTCGACGTATGCGTACGGGAACACGCAATTTTCCCGGGATAAGAGACTGGTGATGGCATCCCACCTAAATAGTTTAGCTGGAAGGGCCCGGCTGATTTTGCGTAAAATGTTTGGTTGGGGGGAAGAGAAGGGGGTTAAGGGGGTTAAATACCACAACAGCAATCCTATTTGAGCGTCTGCCCGAGCGGACGTAGTCCATGCTTCGATTCCCCCGCACGCTTCGATGAGGCCATAGGCTCCCTTGAGATGTGTACTCCAGTATCCGAGGGTGGATTGAGTTTCCTAACTTTCGTTATCAACTTGGATTAGGTCCAAGCAACAAAGATAAAGGTGCAAACTAACGTCGAAGGAAAATAAGATCATAATCGCATCAAGCATGGAGGAGCCATCTTCCACATTACCGGATGCGTTGATGCTTTCGCGGAGGAGTTTCAATGCTGTATAGTGATGGTCATCGGTTGATGGGCTCTTAACATGATGACCCGCTAAAGCCATCACCGCATGGACCAGAAACATAGGTTCCGGAACGTTGGTTTTGCGATATCGAAACGGATTCATCTGTAAGTCGAACGTTAATGGGATCGTGCAGAATTCCATATTGTCTATGACTTGTTAGTGGGCATTGACAGGAGCGACTAGGAGCAGAATAAGCGAACATCTCTCAAGGATAGGCCCAAACCGCTGCCAGATGTTATTGTACAGTACGCTCGGTGGCATAGATGTAGTAGTGTTGGGGAGGTCTGAAGCTGCCATGGGACTTGACTCTATAGTAGTAGCGACTTGACTCGACCAGTCATAGAAGGCGTCTCCGTCAGCTAATTGTAGCTGTCCGTCGTCTGTCGGTGTAGATGAACACGGGGATTGGCCTTGGTCTTTGCTGTTATCGCGATGCGGTTGTAATTCAGCTGTCCTAGGATCGGTCTCGGGGCCGGGAGAATCAGCAGCACTAATTGGCGATGCATCACCCGAGACCTCGAATGGCGTCTCTACGGAAAGGCTGGCTTCCTCGGAAACGTTGACTTGAGAACGAGTTTCATGTTAACCAACAACCGTAGATTACTATTAGTTTTTAGAAGCTAGACAAAGGACAGGACAATACCATCAGGTTCTGGGGCTTTTTGCCTCGTGATTAGTAATAGGTTCAACAGGCGCTCCGGAGGGATAAATGATGGCTGGTTGAAAATGTATGGTCTTACGGTCTCTCATAGGATGTTCTGCAACGAACACAAATTGCTGAGGTCCATCTGCGTTCCCCAACCGACCCCTATTGATCCTACGGGCTGCTGACCTTCTCACGGGCCTATTGGAGAGAGAATATCCTGGCTTCCAGGAGAGCTGCATTCTGAGCGTTCCGTGTATACCAAGTAGGGTATGGCCTGATTGTTCGCAATGTTTGCATCGAGCATTGACGGATACCTTGTGAAAAGGGGCATCCTATGAGGGGCGGTTGCGAGCAGAGAGATCAGGTAGGCACCGGGTTTAAGCTTAGTAAGAGTATAGTTAGTATTTTAGTGTAATCAACCACCGAACCGCGGATCACCCGCCATAGCCACCACTACTTGAAGCTTTTGAACCACCAACGGCATCAGATGGGCTCCACGCCGCAAGTGCGACACTCTTATGTTTCAGCTTTTTATAGATAGAGATTGATTATCTGAAGTTTTTGATGAGGATAAATATATTGACTACTGGAGAGATATCAAGGGGAATAGAGGTAAAATACTTCTACTTTAGATAATAGAAAAAGTGAAAGTAATTATATCACTTAGCTGCAGAGTATCCTATTAAATATCAGAAGTAACTATACCTTCCCGATCTAAGAAAGTGGTTCTAGCTCTTTTCGGGCTACCAAAATTTCTTAAATTAATATATTTTAAGGAGAGCCTCGACATCCTCGCGAACAGAGGATATTTCCTACAATATCCGGTTTGTCACGATATTATTATCCCATATAAGAATCCTAATAATACAAATTCGATAAGACCGAGAGCACTCCTTTCATTATTAAAAGAAAACAGTATTACAGAAAGATTAGGAATGACCCTAGATATCACTCTGATTCTTTTTAGTAGAATAAGCAGGCTGTCTTTCCAAGCAGTTAAAGAATTATGTCAAGACGAAGGGTCAAGGATATATGGATTTGATCTATCTAGATCTCAAGAAGATGGTTGGTGGTTTTTAAGAGGTGGTGGTCGGAGACCACGCAGGAAGAAAAGGCGAAGGATCAGCTGACAGCTGCCTGGCTGCAGTGAATGTCTCAACAAATTATATTACTCCCACGGGTATTGGCGCGCACGAGTAAGACCATGATATAGATCTGGAAGGATACCGGGATGAGTCACCCTGAGCCGAGATCTGGAGTAACAGTATCAAAACATGGTGGTTGACGCTTGATCTTATCACTCCCACCCACCATGCTAGCTGGCGGGCTATCTCTCCGCAAAGAATTGGCAACAGTTACATCGAGCCCGTCTCTCCGCTGAACCGTGTAGTCAACAAAAGTCTACAGTTCCACCCCGCGCATTACCAAGGGACGTGTCACGGATTTACATAAAGACATGCGACGAGCGGAGGATAGCCAGATGGCTAGAGAAAGACCTAACCATAAAAGCATTAAAATTGGCGTCTTCAGTCAACACTACTACAGGGGCACTGCTCCCTTCTACACTGGCCACATTTAAAAATTTCTAACAATAGTCAGGTGTCCTGATCATGGTTAGAGTAGTTCCTTTCTGGGTAGGTCATCTTTCTAGAAAAGAATGCGATAGAACGCCAATACCGGTTATCCCTCTGCAGTTGGGATATTACCGCGCTTATTGCGAATCCCGGCGCATCTGTTTCTAATCTAATCAAGTTTGAATTGAAATGCCTAAGAAGCGTGCTCCTGTAAAAGCATCCTTTTAACTCCCCGAATCCTGCTCTAGCTTCATCTGGCAACACAGGTCCGGTATCTAATTGGTTGCGAGACTCGTCCTTCAGCATAGCACTTTTCTTGTTTGACTGCCGCGAGCTTCGCGAACCCTGGGCGGTTCTTTGGTATCTCGGATTGTTGCCTCATCCTCGGCCGTTTAAGACGATACGAGGGGTACGATGACATCGCTCGTCACAACACACATTCTAGACAGATCATCTAAACCTGCCCGATGTGTATAAAATGCCTAAATACCGGACCTTCGTGAGTTGAAGATCCGACGTTCACCACATGAATTCCCTGTGCTCTGCCAACGCCAACTCCTCTTCGCGGAACAGCCCACGGACAGCATCCCAACCCCTCTCGAGCCGCACGATTGGGAGATTCGCGTCTTTATACAATGCCATCTCTTCTACTGTCCATTCATTGAACCCGGTAGCTGACTCTGTTACCCCAGCCCCGGGACCTGGACGGGATGCTACCGTCGGAGTTTCGCTTGTCGGAGCCGGTAGGAGACCGCAGATTTCCAAAGCACGCTTCGGAGGTACAGTCAAGCGGCCTCTTTTAAACACCATCCGGGTCACAGCAGATGCAAACACACTTTTTTGTCGTTCTTTGTCATGAGATACCGGAAATCTCATCTTGCTGTTGATTGAAGCATTGGCCTGCATGACACAGCATCTGGGCCAAAACTTGCTATTATCAACAAAATGTGTGACCATATAAATCCACTTATCATCCCAGCTCGCAACCCTGGTCCAAATTTCATACTGTTGGAACGGCCTGATCTCTCGATGAAACGTGCACGAAACTGCGCTGACGATCAGGTTGCAAGGAATCGAAGATTTAATTTGTAAGAAGATCGGCGCAAAGAGCAACCCACTGAGATACGCTCTCGATACATCGAGATCAGTGATGTAGGTAGAATTGGATTTATGAAAGTTGAAATCCCCTTCCGTTGCTGGTGACCGTGATCTGACCACTGCCGGGAGAAAGGCATGGTGTTGTTGGAGCGCATGGCTTGACCTTCTGCGGGTAAAGTAGCCCATTGCGAGGGCACCAAAGAATCGGAACTAGAAGGTTAGTGTCGACTCGGGGGAGGAGAAAGGAGCTTGCATTCGGAGCTTACATGCCACATGAAAGGTAGGTTCTTGAGACTCAGCCCTAGTACCAGGCCGAGGCACCGAATCCAGTTCCCCATGTCGAAAGGCAGACGTTTTTGCTGATGTATATGCACCAAAACAGTTGTATGTAGGCTGCTATAACCGCAGATGTACAGAAGGACATCGGTTATATACGCCATACCGAGGCTTGCGGACAAGCGACTATACCTTCTTCTGCGATTCTTTTCCGCGGCACTGAAGGTACCCACCCCATAGCCGCGGGTGTCAAGCCATACTATATGCGGAAGGGAAGACTTAAAAGGGTCAATGAGAGTCCTAGATTCCAAATTAAACAAAGGACATTGTTACCAACTTCTCATTATCAGTGACCCAACTCGACGATTCTATCGAAACATGGCTGAAGAGGATCTCGTTCGTCTCGATATCAACGGCATCTTTGCCGTCATCACGTTGAATAACCCCAAAAAGTTCAACGCCTTGACTCAGAGTCTGTATTATCGCCTTGCAAGCTTGCTCCGAGAGGCTGAAGATAATTCGGACGTCTATGTGACTGTATTGATTGGCGAGGGCGCCTTTTTCTCCGCGTAAGTCCTCTCCACCGTTTGCGCAAAGAAAGGTGGAATTGGTGAAGAGATGTTGATGTCGACTTCTAGAGGGGCTGACCTCAAGGGGAAGCCACCATCTATGGAGGAGATGTTGTCTCGCCCTCACTGGCTTCCGAAATTGGTGAATAACAACATCGACGTGGCGAGAGCGTTCTACACTCATTCGAAGGTTCTAGTCACGGCGCTGAATGGACCGGTCATAGGGCTTTCTGCCGCGTTGATATCGCACTCGGATTTCATTTACGCGGTATCCGATGCTTGGCTGATGACTCCTTTCACCTCACTCGGACTTGTTGCCGAAGGCGGCTCCAGTGTCGCCTTTGTGCAGCGGATGGGTCAAGGGAAAGCAAACGAGGCACTCCTTCTTGGCAGAAAAATTCCCGTCAGTGAGTTGGCTCAGGTCGGTTTTGTGAACAAGGTCTTCGAAAGCAAAGGCAACTTCCGTGAGCAAGTGATGGGGTACCTGCAGCAGACGTTCGGAGAACATTTGGTGAAGTCGAGTCTCCTGGAGACGAAGGCTTTGATGCGTCGTCGCTTGGTTAGGGAGCAGGACGAACAAGCGCCTCTAGAGATGTTTGGTGGCCTCGACCGTTTCTGCCAGGGTATCCCGCAGGCAAAGATGGGAGAGGCTCTGTCCAAGAGCAAGGCTTCTCGGCTCTGACTTTGCTGAGTACATACTGTGCTCTACGCTGCACACTACTTTCATCATATGCGTTGTGATTCAGAGGACGATTATTTATTGTGCTTATTCACATCTGAAAACCTGAGGGCTTAATATACAAAAGGGATATGAGATTGATTTGAAAACAATCTGTTTGTATTCGAAATAAATTCCGTGTACGAAGCTCTATTGTTTACTTGGTCGAGCCTCGATTCACAACAATATGCATCAGCACTTCGTTGCGCTTCGCCTAATATACGGTTCCAAGCTCTGCTCCCTGTCTTTTCCTTCCTCGCCTCTTTGTCCATGGCTGCTCAAACCGTTCTCTTGTTTCTCGCCTTTGAGAGTGTCATTCGCGGCCCTAGCACCGACGGAGGCCCAATGTGCAACCTCCGTTTCCGTAGTAGCGACAACAGCTTCAATAATTTGCCTCCAGAAACTTGGTCGCCTGTAGCGTTAACCGGTCCCCAGCGCGACGTACGATGCAGAGTTTGGTCTTGTCACCGTGCTACTACGACATACACCTGCACCACGAGCTGGAACTGCGGGGAGCCGAGGCAATTAACTCGGTATGATGGTATTGAACAATCACCAACTATCTACTGGCTGCTTTGTGTTGCCGAGGCCCACCTAGTTTAGTACTTACCTTCCCGAACCCCCGTGTCCTTATCCGCGGCAACATTCCCGCATTGGTGCTACTTCATTCGCAACGTCCAAGACTGCGATTTCCATGATGCCCAATACTGCAAAGGAGAGCCCGCGGAGTCCTGGCAGAACGCGACGGTCCAGAAAACGAGCGCCCGTGGCTTGCCAGTCATGCCACGCCCGTAAAGTAAGGTGCAGTCTCCCACAAACGGGGAGTCCTTGTACCAACTGCTCGTTAGATGATCTTTCCTGTGTGCCGCGGGAAAGCAGGAGATCAAAGTAAGCGATATGGCAATCTCAGTGCGAAAAACTCCTCGGCAAACCCGCTAACGAGCTGCCGTAGCAGACGTGGCCTACCTTACCATCTTAGTACGGTGTCTTCGCCGTCGAATAGG